TCTAGAACTTATAAAAACAAGCTAAAAAGAACTTATGGATATTATAAATCACAATTTAGAAGAAATTGTTGGTTTATTTTATAAAGGACTTTACAATCTCTATAAAGTATTAATTTTACTTTTCATTTTTTACCCTTATTAAAGATTGTGAGAGTGTGTTCTTCTCTCTCACCTTTTAGACTTTCCAATTGTCATTTATTACCATTTTTATTAATATTGGTACATAAGCTTTTGTATGGAATAATATTTTCACCTCTCATGGAAATTTAATGATAATTAAAAAGGGTAAAATTGATACTTCATTATTTTGTTTTATAAACTTGATAAAATCAACTAACATAACTAGTTATATTAATTCGTGATTTGGTTAAAAATGTCCAATAATAAAATGAGGGAGTATTAGAAGTTATTTTCGTAAGCTTTCCTAGACAATTACATAAATTTGTCACAAGTATAAATAAGCTGTAAGTATATTCTTCCAAACACACCTTAGGACTTGACTTATCTTATATAACATATTTATATTATCTGTGATTAGGCAACCTTAGAGTCTCTAGAGTTAGGAAAGATTTCTAGAGTTAGAATATGTTTTGAAAAAACGTTTGAAAGCTGGACTTAAATCTGTATCCCAGATTCTTGAGAAGCAATATTGTGTGAACAATGATGATAAAAGAAAAAGGAGATATGTTAAAAATACAAATGTAGTAGTATCGTGGAAGTATTGGTATTGGAATATCCAGGCATCATAATTTCGTTTTCTGGTCTGTGCTAGTTTCAACTTAAGATTGAAAAGGTGTTATGGGTAGATTAATGTGGAAATTTTGTAGATGGAAACCGTACTGCTAGAAGATGACAATGTTGCAGAAGCACTTCTTAGCTTTATTTCGGAATCCAGGGTCCAAACATTAGTGCTGGGTTCTGACTCGTCAAATTTTATAACAAGGTATGTGTTTCTAAATATTTAAAGCGTTAAAGCAAACATTGTGATTTTTCTGTTTTGTTCATATATTAATCCGTGTGAAATAATCTTACAATATTGCTCCTTTACTAGATTCTAAATTTCAGAACATTGGATTCTAAATTTCAGTTTTTCTTCTTCCAGGAAGCTAAAAGGACCTGGAATACCAACTACCATTCTAAGATGTGCTCCTGATGGTTGTGATGTATATGTTGTAGCTAGAGATAGAATTATATCAAAGTTGGCTGATTTTTCATCTTCACATTCTCATGGTATGTTTGAAGTTCTTGCATTTCGGGAGGTTTATGATGCTTTTATAGAATTAGGGTCATGAGAAGTTGTATAGTTTCTTCTGATTTTATTTATTTTCCCTTCAACAGAAACTAGCCAAAGGTACTTCATGTCTACTAAAGTAAATAAAGCAGACAATGATGCTGGTATTGGTAGAGAAATGTCTGGAATTAGTTCATCCTCAACAGAACCTAAAATTCTAAAGAATTTCAAATTTTTATCAATATCTGAGCGTAGTTACATTGGTCTGCAAACATTTAGTCATCGTAGGGATTCTTTTGAAAATTCTACCAAAAATGAAGAAGAAAATCCAGAAAACTGTGGAGATGATATTGAAGCTATCAGCCTCCATTCATTTGATTCCATTGCTTCTGCACAACGTGAACAGGTAACTTTCTTCTTTTTAGAATAACTTGTGAAAGTGCTATATATTTTTTATTCTCCAACATGGCTGTGGTGTTCATATGATGTGTACAAGCAGTTAGTCATGCAACAAGAAGTGGAACGGCTGCAGCAGGAGTTGCAAAATACTATCGCCATGTACAAACAGGTTTGTGAAGATCTGGTTCAAGCTCAAAACCAGGTGAGAGTTTGATAATATTTGATTTCCCCCTATGTTCCCAATGCCTAAGCCAACGCCTACAAAAGGTATTAACTCAAATAATTTGTTAAAAAAACGCAAATGAATTTCCCTAAGAGCATATATGTTGCTAATCAACTATTTTTGAACAAATTTTTTTGGATGACTAAAACCTGATCAAGAGCCAAGAAGTCATCAAAATTCAAATTTAATAAATAAATGGAAGCAAAATGAAAAATATTTTATTTCAAACATAAAGCTTATGTTCTCTTTAATTTCATTATTTTTTATTCAATGTTTTTTTTTTTTTGAAAGCCACGACCATGTGGTTAAATTGCTACAATTGAACTTAAAATCTATAGTTTAGAACTTGTCGCCCCACAGTACTTATGCCCCACTCTGAAAATTTATGCCTTCACCACTTGGCCCTTTTGACATGCATGTCTTCACTTGCAGGCCCTTTTACTTTCTTCTGAATCTCTTGAAGAAACTAAAATAGTAAATGCTTCCCTAAAAAGAGAAGAGACTTTGAGAAAGATTGCTGCTGAAGAGAAAACAAAGTATTTAAAAGTGATGAAGGAACTTGAGGAGGCGAAAAGTAAGTTTGCCAAAGAATCATATGAAAGACAGATGGCTGAACTTGATGTCCTTAGAGAATCAATAGAAAAACAGAGAATTGTCGATACATTGCTCTCAAATGACAGAAGATACAGAAAATACACCATGGATGAAATCAAGATAGTGACGAACTTCTTTGCTGAGGATTTGATAATTGGTGAAGGAGGATATGGGAAAGTTTATAAGTGTAATCTTGATCACACACCAGTAGCTGTAAAGGTTCTGCATCAGGATGCAATCAACAAGAAAGAGGAGTTTCTGAAAGAGGTCTACCTTGTGCTCGGTTTTTTTCTTCCCTTTGAAGTTGTTTTTATGATAAGAAGTTACTAATCAACTAATCCTCGACAGATATCAGATCTAGCTTCCTTAAGATTTACTCTTTGTTCTTTGTGTGGTGAAATAGTCTTCATATGAAATTTGCTGATTTAAAATTTCATTAAATTTTCAAACTACACTCCCTTGCGTCTCATTTTTCAATGTTTCCGAATGATAGGTGCCTTTTAAATATCTTAAATGAATTCAGTATTTGAATGCTGGAATAACAAGAAAAAGCATTCCTTTCTGAGTTTCTGTTGTCTCCCATTTCTTGCAGGTTGAGATTCTTAGTCAACTACATCACCCTAATATGGTCTTGTTACTAGGAGCCTGTCCGGAGAATCGTTGCCTTGTTTACGAGTACATGGAAAATGGAAGTTTAGAAGACTACATTCTCAACAAAAATAGCAAACCACCACTTCCTTGGTTTTTTCGATTTCGTATAGCTTTTGAAATGGCTTGTGGACTCTCATTCTTGCATAATTCGAAGCCAGAGCCTATTGTTCATCGAGATATAAAACCTGGCAATATCTTGTTAGACAGAAATTATGTGAGCAAAATTTCAGATGTTGGTCTGGCTAAACTCCTTGCAGAAGTCGTGCCTGACAATATCACAGAGTACAGAGAATCAATGCTTGCCGGTACTCTGCATTACATGGACCCAGAGTATCAGAGAACTGGCACTGTCCGACCAAAATCAGATGTATATGCTTTCGGAGTTATAACTCTGCAATTGATAACTGGTCGCCATGCACGTGGACTCATTATGACTGTTGAAGATGCAATCAGAAATGGTTCCTTCCGTGATATTTTAGACACATCAGCTGGAGATTGGCCACTAGATGAGACAGTGGAATTGGCTAAAGTTGCCCTTAAATGCACTGCCCTCAGATGCAGAGATAGACCAGAACTTGATACTGAAGTTCTTCCACTGCTCAAAAGATTTTTTGATGCGGCAAATGCTAGTGCAAGGATGGGAAGAAATAGTGCCAGTGCACCAAGCCAGTATTATTGTCCAATCCTTCAGGTATAATAAATCTGCACTTGTCTGAAGGGCATTTGGTTATTGTGTTTTGATATCTTTGTGATGCATATCATTTTCAGATATATTTTTTCATCATTGGTTGACTTGTGAGTATTGCAGGAAATCATGGATGATCCATATATTGCTGCGGATGGTTTCACTTATGAGTACATAGCAATCAAGGCATGGCTTAGCAAACACAATGTATCACCGATGACAAAGCTTAAACTCCAGCATTCTGTGTTGACTCCAAACCATACTTTACGTTCTGCCATTCAGGAGTGGAAGTCAGGAGTGACCTTTTGATTAGAAATCAGTGAATATCTTGCTGGTTACTGCTCATCTCCATCGACTTTATTTGCACTTCGCAGCATAAAAACAGTCAGAATTTGAATTATACAAAAAGGGTTGTTAGACGGATGATGTGAAAGAGAGAGAGATGCCGAGAAATATAATATCGTAAAAGGATAGTAAGAAATTATTGTGTGATAAGTATAACTTTTTTGAGAATTTAGCTGCACGTGCTGCTAATTTTATTTATTTATTTAAGGCTGTATATAAACTTTCGTTAGCCATTGTATTTAGCCCAAAGGTAAGTTCTAGCAACGCGGGCAGACTTTTCTTACGGTCTTGTTGGACAAGAATGAAAGTTTATATAGCATATGAAATATTCACGACTCATTTATATTACAAAATAACAAAAGAAATTTGAAACAATAGAAATAAAATGGAGTGTATTAGTGGTAGTGATAGTCATACACAAGAGATATAACTTAAGAAAAAACCTCCAAGTACTTGAAATATTAATCTTAAAATGGCCATCAACACATTCCGATTTATCATTTGTATGAATGATCGTTTTAGAACACCGACAAGAAAAAATATATATCATTTGTGAGTATACCGTTTATAAATAATAAAAAAATGTATAAACAATCTAGGTCAACCCAATTTGATAAAGTAAAAATTGAAACTCAGCTAAGCCAAACCAAAATAAATTCAGACAATCAAACTTCAAATTTTACAACTCAACTCATGTATTAAGATAGTAAGGTCAACTTATTAAGCTTGACTTATTTTTAACACTCCCACAGATAACCCACCAAATTCAAACATTAAAAAAGGTTTTAAAAAAACAAAACATAGTGAATCCTCCGGTTTAATTTTTATCCAAAAATAAATAAATAAAATATTGTCTTACACAACAATAAGAAAACAATTCCGCTCCTATTACAAAATAACCTACTGGTATCAAAGTTCCTATCCAATTCAAGAGAAACAGAGAATCAAACACGATGAAGCTGAGACTCAGATCTTTGGAATCCAAAGAAACCATTAAAATAGAAGTTCCCGATTCCTGTTCTCTGCAGCAACTCGAAGATACCATTTCTCACACAATCTCTTCGTCTCCTTTGTCTTCTCTGCATCTCTCGCTCAACAGAAAGGACGAGATTCGCGCCTCTTCGCCGGACGAGCCCCTCCACTCTCTCGGCATCGCTGCCGGCGACCTCGTCTTCTACTCTCTCAGCCCCACCGCCTTCTCCCTCGAAACCCTACCCCACAAGCCAGAAACGGCTTCCCGCGACGGACCCACCATCCATGACTCACCGGAGAGCCTCCCCGGAGACGCCCCCTCGACTCCCGCCGCGGAAAAGCCTCCGACTTTGGATGCTGCGGAAGCTGATACCGTCGATATGACTGATGGGTCTGACGAGGTGGTGGTGGTGAGTACCAATTCCGAGCCTTTCTTTGTGAGAAGGGTTCTAAAAGAAGCGCTTGGGAACAACGTTAGTGATTTCAAGTTGTTAGTGTTTACTGTCCATGGTATTGTTCTTGAATCCGGGTTTGTTCGAGTCGATCTGCATTCGGGTATGGTTGTTAGGTTTTCTCACCTGCTTGACTATTCTCCTTCAGCGTTTTCTTCGGTGGTGTCTTTGAGGTATACCCTGCCTGAGATTCTGACTAATGGTACTTCTCATAGTGTGAATTTGAAATTTCAGACATTGGGGCATTTTGTGAATGTGTGTGGGTCTTTGTCTGATGATGTTGGATCGAGGTTGCATTATGTTTGTTTGGATAAACGTAAGTGTGCTAGACCTTTGGAGTTGATGCTGTCAAATTCTGAATCTAAAGGTAGTGTTAATGATGGGGGAGATTTTCAGTTTGGAAATGAAGTTTTTGAAATGTGGAAGATGCTGAAAGATAGGCTTGCATTGCCACTGTTGATTGATCTCTGTGAGAAGGCTGGTTTGGATCTTCCACCTTGTTTCATGTGGCTACCAATGGAGCTTAAGCTCGTGATTTTGGAGCGTCTTCCCGGTGTTGATTTGGCGAAAGTGGCTTGCACCTGTTCCGAATTGCGATACTTGTCCACCAGCAATGAGTTGTGGAAGAAGAAGTACGAGGAGGAGTTTGGACAAGTGGGAGAGAGTAGAGGGCGCATTTTCAAGGATTTGTTTGCTTTGTCATGGAAAACAAAGAAGAGGTGGCAAGGGATTTCTTATCGTGGTTTTTCAAGACGCACTATTCCCCCACCCATCCATTTTCGAATTCCTCCATTTTGGGGTGGAGGATATGGTGTGCAGCCAGTAGCATTCCCTGGACACCCACCAAGGCGCTTTGTGGGTCCCTCGTGTGTTCGGAGATTCAATCAATGACCCTCACTTTAATTTTCCTCATCAAGTGATGTGTAGTGCTGGGACCAAATCCTCGGTGTGGTTCACCTGATCTCTCTTTTGCGTGGATAATTCATTGCTAGAGTGACTGCATCGTATATGATTGGTTGTGAATAAATTATGTTTTTGAGTATTGATTCTAGGCCCTTTTTTGGGTTAGTATTGTGAATTATCTGGCAGATTTGCTTCTTTAGTCCTTTGGTTATATGTTTTGAATAAGATGATAGAATCCAAATATGATGTCAGGACATAGTTTATGTTCGATCTTTATGCATTTGTCTTTGGTTTGCCGAGGGAAAACCAAAAATGTATAAACCTCGTGTTTTTGCTGTGTAATATTATAGTATTAGTATAGTGTAGTATATAACTTTATTAATGTGAAGGGATTTGGATCTTGTGATTGCTTAATAAGTACTAACAGCCAATTGTACTAACATATGACAATGGTATGTGATGATTTAGAGAAAGATCTTGCTTACGCATGATTCCTCCCATCGGAAAACATTGGCATGGGCACATCTTTGATGGAAAGGGAATCTCTCCTGCATGTTTTGTCTCCGGCACTGTGAGCTTTTTAAAAACATCTTGGTGATGTTTCTTTTTTAGCATGCAAATCAGAGTACTTGCTGATTGCTTACTTGTATAATGCTTAGCATTACTGTGTAGATGACGAAAAAAGTGAAAACCGATAGTCTATATGATATTTTGGGCATTGATGAGGGTAGAAAGTTATCGGTGGTACATGAGGCACGAACAAGGAAATACTCCCTGTAGGCTTTTAATGGTAAAGATACATGAATACATATTGCCATATTGGAATAAAAGGGTCCAAAGGCTATGTAGCTACGAGATTATTTAAAGAAATTGATTAATACTACCTAATACTTATACCACTTTGAGTTGATTATTTAAAGGAATCGATTAGTAATAACTAATAACTATACCTAATTTCAATCACGTATATTGTGTCATTGTTCTATTATTAAAGTATTGAAACTCTTTTATATTTTTTTTGTTTGAAAACGTCCTTTTTATTTATTTTATGTTACAAAGATAAATAATTTTACTTGTGAGATTATAACAGATAGAACATACTAACTACTCCCTGTGTTTGATATTTATTGATGTTTTAGTTTTCTAATTTTGTTTAAAAGCTATTGGTGCTTTAGAAATTCAGGAGGCGATTAACAATTTTTCAACTATACCTTAATTTAAAATAAAGAGTAATATTGTGTTGATAACATTTGATGTTTACAAGACTAGTGTAATGGAATACTTTTAGTTATTCAAAGGAGTGTTTACATATCTCAAAATGCACGAGTTGTGAAAAATACATAAAAACCTATAATGTATTGAAGAAAAAAGTTTGGTGAACATCAAAGTAGAATAACATTTTAATTTGGAGTATATCTTTTATGACTCGTATACATGAGAAAAAGTAAGTTGCACGCGATTATCCCATTTGTTCAGGCTTTTTATGTTCAAATAATGAAACTCTTGGCTTCTGAATATCTTCAAATAAGGTCACTGTCTCTTTCAACATTACGTCTCGTTTATCCATACAGTTCTGCTATAAGACGAGCCAGTAATCATCTATTGCTGCCAGTGCCATTGCATAGCAGGCTACTTTACTAAGTACTATGGCTAACTGGTTACAATCCCTTCAGCCTTCAGTTTTTACATACATGCAATTATTTGTACATATAATTCTACATTCAGTTTTGGTGACTTTAACGCAAGTAACATCCATAAACATCAATCATCTATCTGTGTAAACTCTAGAGCATTTGCATCAGGATCACGTGTAAAGATCGCTGGTCTTCCAGAACGACTAAGTGTGTAGGGGATGCCTACAAAGTAAAAAAACACAGAAAATATTATAAAATATAGAGCACATGCCATTTAAAATGCTGTATATCATGGTGAACCACAAGTTATGTTGTTTAAACAAGGGAAGAAGTTGTACCAGCTTTATCAAGGATTGCTTTCAGTTTGGAAACATCCCGGATTGCGATACATGTGTGACGATCTCGACCACCATGTTGAGGTCTTCCAGTTAAAGGGTCAGGATTTGGAAGCTCCATCAAATGAATCATCTCAGAGCCTACCCACAACCAAGCACCCCTGTAGGGAAGCTTATCATGTGGCCTTGCTTCATTTATCTTGAGGCCTAAATTTCATTCAGTTTAGTTATTTATATACTTGCTTCATGGTAAACACAATTAATGTCACGAGCTGGCATACCTAGAACGTTTTGATAAAAGTCAAGTGATCTTTCTAGGCTTTCACATAAAATTCCAACATGGTGCATACAAACGAGCCCATAATCTGATAAAGAAAAAGAAAAAGAAACAGCAAGATCAAAATAGAAATAATGGATCAAAAGCAACTCTGAAACACATGAATAAAGCAGAAACTGAACAATAACCAACTTCATACCATTTTCTTCATTGGCAGAGACTGATTCTTTGTCAAGTACATCCCCTTCAACAGCTGCCTGAGCTTTTATTGTCATGCTAGGAAAATGCCATCTCCCATTTCTAACACCAGCATGATAAAATTTGGGTTGCATGTTTGTGGTTATGGGAGTAATGCTAACATAATTCAACTGCAACAAAAAAGGGTTACTAAACAAGAGAATTAAGATTGGATCTCCGGAACGACAAAGCATATTATAGGACATACTATTGAAGTGTCAATTAACAAGGCTCACTGCTGATAAATTGATGAAATTCAGATTGAAATAATTGAAATTACATGGTTTCGAGATCCACTCATTAATCCATTTTTCCTCAATCTGATTGAGAAATACCAACAAAAAATAATCTTTTGGGGCATTTTTTTCCTTAATAGACAACAAATTTCATTCAGCATCAAATAATGAATCAGTCGCAACTCGCAAATTGCAATTCAAATAATGAATCATAAATTGTATCAAACGCAAGATTCAGAGAAACTAAATAACTCAAAATATACCATACTAATGATGTTATAATGTTCGGTGAAATAATTTTAAACAAAACAAAAATGACCATTAGTATCACGAAACAACTGAGTGGATGAAGCCACAGAGCTATGTAACCCTCCTTTACTTTTCATTTAATAATTTAAGCTCATCTGACTTTTCAATTTCCTTTAAATGGTGAAAGAAAAGTTGAATATCAAATAAAACAAATTACTAAATCTGAGATATGGAATCACAGCAATTCATCCAAGTATCATAAGATACAAAGTCCTTTGTGATTTATTACCAAGCTGTATCCAATTTGTGTGATTCAAATCTCGATTTAGAAGATTCTAATAACTAGGTTTACCACCAACCAAAAAAGCACCTAAGATCGATACAGAAACATGTCAAACAATCAGGGGTAAGGGGGAGTCAGATGCCAACAATATCCCAATCAGTTATGACTTTTACCAATCCGAAAAGGCATCAAATGCCCACGAAAATCCACTTTTTTCCCTCCTAGCCCTTCTCAATTATAACAATAACATTGATCAATACCAAGAACAGAGAGGACAAGTGGTACAAAATATATCAAATCATCAAGGGTGGCAAGGAAGAGAAGAGTGGTATCAGTAGCAACATGAGTTTCCTATGCATTATAAATCATTAAATCATGGATTTTGCACCTTGTAGTAATTGCACAACATGTAGTTATTTAGCAGCCAAAGAATTAAAAGACAATCCCACCAACTCCCTAATTGGGAACAACAAGTTAAAAGTAAACACATCCACCAAACTCTCCAATTACCAAACACTCCACAATAGAAACACAAATTAAAACCCCTTGTTATGATTATTGGAGCAAGAAACAAAAACCCAGAATACAAGTGACATGAGATTGCTGAACATGATGAATTAAAAAACACCTTTTGGTTGAGAGGAGAGATAAAGGAAGGAGCTTTGAGAAGGGACGCCATAGCAGAGCAACAACTCATATGATTTGTGAAGGCTACATATATGAATAATGAGTGGACACAGCACCCTTACTAGCTTCTGCTTCTGGGGCTCCAAAAATTTCACTAAACTAAACAGTGGCCACTGATTTGGGTATGGGACACTACTATAAAATCCAAACATAATAGAGATCTATCTATAAATATGCTACAGTATAGGGAGTATTCACAATTTGCAAAAGTTCTTATTTGCAGTTCTTATAATACGTACAATTTGCCGAAGAAAGCGTCAAGTTTTAATTATTTAAAGGTTTAGTGTCACTACATTTTCTTTAGAATTTTAATTTAAGTATTTAAACTAAAAATAATTCTGATTAGATTTTTAAGATTTTAAATTTTTTGTAATTAGTTCATTAAAGTTAGTAAAATTATCACGAATAATTACTTTTGTAATAGTTTTACACTGTCACAGATTAATCACAGATATTTAATTACAAAAAATATTTTAAAAAATCAAAGACTCAATTATAATATTTTTAACTTTAGGAACTTAATTACATATTTTTAAGAAAATTCAGAGACCAATTGTTTTTAAAAATATACATTTTATTTTAAAGGACACAAATTCAATTATTTAACGATTAACAGCAATGAAAGCATTAACAAAGAATAATAAAAAAAATGAAAGTTAAATAAATATTGGTATGACAAATAATTTACAAACTAACTATTACTTAATCATGGGTGAGAATCAATGTGGGATTAGATTAGTATATTTTTTTTTTATAAATAAAGGATGATATCATCCATGATTATAATTAATAACATGATAAAGATCCTCTTCAAACTTCATTGTTCATTTAATAGATAATTGAAAGTCACATAACTAATACATGTGAGTGTGGAGAAGCATCTACTTGATATAAATGGATATTGGACAAGAAGGTGTACATCTCACTCACTTATATGACTTTTTTCTTTTCTCTTTGGATGTTATATTGATAGCATAACAATAAATATTTGACTTAAAAAATAAGAATATGACTAATTTCTCTTGATAAATTATTAACTAGTTCGGGATGATTAACTCAAAATTACTAAGTATTTATAATTTTAGACATTTTCTCTAAACATAAATATTTTTAATCATTTGTGAAGAAATTAATGACATTTAATTATATATCAAGATTAATTACGAATTATCTGATTTATAAACATTTAATAATTTTTTTAGTTTCTCCATGGTAAAAACTCATACTTGTACCCTAAGCGTACTTTGTGGGACATCATAAATATGAAAAATGAGGACGTGTTGAATCATATAGAATGAAAGTTAATTATTATAAAAACATATTACTTTTTGAAATATTTTATCATTTTGGAGCGGTTAACAACAATAGGTGTCACTAATTGATCCAACATGTCATGTCATTTTTTTTATTTTTAAAATATTAAAAAATGGACACATGCCATGTCATTTTATTACATTTTTCTTATATTTTATTCTAAAGCAATAATTGCTTCTAAGTTTTATATGAGACACAGAGACAGGCACCTCAACTCACTCTATGCATGAATTATGAAAGGGTTCGACTCTTTTATATATTGAAAAAAAAAAAAACCATAGTTTAAGAACCCAATTAAACAGGGTTACATTAACGTTGCCATTATGAGAAGATTGAAAAATTACCTAACCCAGCCTTCGATTAATTAATCAAATTAATATAAATAACCACTTGCATAATTGACAAATATTTAATACGACATGACACTTAAAATACTCAACAACCAACAGCTAGGATATAAATTCCTACTGTTGACGAAGAAGATGATTTAGCTTTGGTGCCGTCATAGATACATCATACATATAATGGTCAACCACCTATGATGACGTACAAAAATTAATCTTAATATAATGATATTATCACGTGTTACGCATGATATTTCAGTAGCTGACCTAGTATTTTGCTGCTTAATAAATTATCAGGGACGATTAACATTAATAGAAAAATATGTTGAATTTGATTCCAAAGGAAAATAGTTCTGAAAGTCAAGTATGATTTATAAATACTACAATGGATGCAAGCTGTTTCGTCAAAGTAAAATTTTTCACAACTAAATTAATATTAGGTGGGAAACCGATAAATCATGTGAGTTGTTCTTATATATATTGCAGTACTACCATTTGACAATTAAAAGAGTTTAAAATAATTTGAGGGTAGAAATTTCAAAATTTAGCTACCACTTCGATTCACCTCCCTACGACCTAAGCGTGTGTTTGATTTTATGGTAGACATAATCAAAAATTATTTTTGTTTCCGGTTCAACATGAGTTTAGTAATATTTATATCAATAAAAATTAATTACAATACAATAATGAAATTTAAACATAAGACTTTAATATACTATCTCAACTCTCTTACTACTAAATTGATACTAGTATTTTTTTATGAATCTTTAATTATTATTAGGTAAAATTGATTTATCTTTAAATTTTGATTTAATTAAAAGTGATAAAATATAGTTTTTACCTTAAGATAATATATATATATTAAGTTTTATATCAAATTTGTTTTAAAGATAAAAATGTTTAAACACAAATTACTTTACTTTAAAACAAATTTTATTTAAAATCAATTTTATTAACGTTCTTCTAAACACACTATTTTTATTAGTTAGAATTTATTAAGATTATAAATATAATTAATATACTAATAATATATATATATATACATAATTATATATAAAAAAAATATTTAGCATTAAACATATATACTTTAATTGTCCATTTAATTATTATGTGTGTGATTTCAAATCTCATATATTTAACGTTTTGAAAAAGAAAAAAAATTCTTTATCTTATAATAAGTATTATATTTAAATAAAATATAAATTTTAAAATAACTGTTATGTTAGTTTTTTAATGTAATATTAAATATTTGTTTCTCTTTTATCTCTTGTAATATTCTTTAAAAGGTAATTATTGTATTGCATCATTTCTATAAAAAAAATTATATGACTATTTTTGCGAAATTATTATTCTCTTTCATTTATTTATTAACTTTTATAAATAGGTGTAAAATAATATAAGATGATACTTATTATAAAAATTATCATGACATATCTTACACAAGATCAACACCATATTACATATCATGTCACTTGTCAATGTTACATCATCAAAAGTTAATGAATTTTTAATATAATTTCAATAATCAAGAGACCAAAAATGCATTCAAACATTAAAATTTATAAAGAAATACTATCTTAAATCCTTTTATATAATCTCGTAATGTTAATACAAATGGTTAAATCTTTTTATTTTTACTAGTTAAGACTTTAGATCAAATCTAACTTTTCTTAACTTATACTTTATATTTATTGAACATATGATATTCTAAAAAAAATGAGATCCAAAAATATTTTTATTTTTTCTCTGGGGTAGGAAAATCATGATCGGACTAGAGGACCAAAAGCTATGGAACTTGTAAGTACTTTATCGAAATGGAATGACCTTACCTTACTATTTTCTGTTTAATAAAAAGAAAAGAAGAAGAAAAATATTCGTAAATCTTAGATATTTTGATATAAATCCAATATGCCCCTAATCTTTTAATTCCCATTTTTTTGTTTTACGCTTAGTAATTCTTCCTCAGCCGGGTTTGGGCAGAATAGCACAACAAGTAAAGTATTATTAGCGTAGCAAAAATGCGTTCCTCATCTTTAATATGTTTGCTAGCGGTAATTGTGGCTTCTCGGGAGAATTGATGAAATGCATCAAATATGCACTTGCTATTGCTAATACCAGTACATCTAAGAATTCTTAATTGGTTGGTTTATATAAGAAACCTTATTTAAAAATGACAATTTTCACATTTCAAATTCAAATTTAATTTTGTCATTAATATCTTACCGTTACAAATTTGGATTAATTTTCTTTTAATTACCGAATTAATTTCCTTTAATTACCAGATTTATTTTTTTTAATTACCGAATTAATTACGTGATTTTTAGGATTTTTGAAACTCTATAAATAGAGGCCCCTGGTACACTATTTTCTTATCCCAAAACTCATTTCTCTCTTCCTTCTTTATGAGTACTCAAATTTTTTAATTGTTAGTTCTGCTCCTCAATTCCTTGAGACGACCATGTTGTATCCTGGGGGGCTTGCACATATCCCGCGGATAAATCCTTAAGGTCTGTCATCACATGCCTTAGGAGAATTTTACTAATGTTTATTCGGTGTTTCAGGTTGCTCATAGTTGCGTCCGCAATTTTATACAACAATATCATCATGGCAAACTTGCTTTGAGGATGTGATAAGCAATACTTATCCCACTAAAAATATCTAGAAAAGTTGGTGATTTACTATAATCTTATATGAAGTCTTGTTTTGCCTTAATTTAAAATTTTCATTACCAGAAAAAGAAAAAAAAACAAAATTCTTTATATAACAAATAAATGAGTATTTTTGTTACTCTAATTATAATAAACATATATAGAATTACTTTGAGTCTTTAAGGTGTATTAATTATTATTTTTTTTAACTTATTGCTTTTGAGGCTATATGTTAATCTATATGGCATTACATTAGAGATAGCCAGTGACAATTGAGTGTCATTTGAGTATGTTAATTAAATGTGTAATCATATAATGAACATTAATACCTTTGGAATATTAGTGGTGTATATTTTTTCAATTTATCTACTAAAAGTTACAATCGTTTATGACGGTGAGAAATTTATATATGGATTTCCTTTATACGAGATATAGTAAGTAATTAATCTTTATAAATATTTTCATAGTGAAAAGATACGCATAAATAAATATGATGAATATGATAACTTTAGTATGCATCAATTTATATTATAATGAACAATTTTTGCTCTATATTTTTTAGATATTAATTTTTAAACCTCCTTGTATTTTGTTGAATTGATTTTGGTGATTATATATATTTTTTGGTTTTGAGACAAAATTCATGGACAATACTATCAAATTCTTAAGAAACATTATTCCCGTGTTCAAAAGAATTATTTTTGTTAATGTAAAAATATAATATACTTTTATCAAATATTGTTCTATTTTTTTATTAATTATAAAATTATTGATTAAAATGTTATAATTAAATATTTATGACATTTCACTGTGGATATATAAAAAGATATATCTATC